AAACCCAAATCCCACGCTATTTCTGCTCACTGAATCAGTACCAACTGGAAAGCTTCTGATTTAAAAAGCTGTCACTGTTATCTTCAGATACTACTGTTGAAAAAGAAATTCTCCAATAAATCAAATCCAACTTGCAGATTCATCGAGAAGTACAAGCGACAGAAATCCTGGACACTTTGTATACTTCCTGAACCCAGAAAGGGTATAAATAGCATCCTGGGACAGACACATCCTTCTAGAACATAGCTGACATTTCAGGTGAAAGATTAGACATGGCAAAGAAGGGCTTCAAATGGGTGAAAACAAATGCTGAGAACTGGCAATATTAAAGGTAGGAGATGACGGACAAGAGAGAAAATCTTGAAAAGTTGTCGTCTTTGAGTTTCACAGTGTCATGTACTCAGCGTTTCAGAACAACTGGTTGTTCAATAGACCCAGTTCCTTGTACCCCGGGAACCACCATTTCCCAAGAGGACTGTAAGGAAAAGACGTCTTGGGAGAAAAATCAAAGGTCCAAGTTAAGGGCAGGCCTTAGTGAATGAAAGTGAAATCAAATCTGTTATATGGGGTCAAGCAGGATTTCAAACTAGGGGAGTGAGAACAAGACCTTAACTAGAAGGAATGCTAGAATCATGAGAGAATAAGATCACAGTAGCCCTGAAAACTGAGAGTGTTACATCACAATTTCTGGACACTGAGCAGGGAAAAATGTTTCTGTGAAATGGACAATATGCAGTTAGTAATAATCACCTCTCTGTTGTTTTCCTCCTAGAGAAACACAGAAAGAAATCCCAAAGCAGATTTCTTTTTTTCTAAGACTTTTACCAAAATCATGGCTTTCTTGCTTCTAGGGGCTTCATTTGCTTCACAGTCTTCTAGAACTTACAGTAGGTATCTTCATTTATAATTTGGGTTTGATTGGCAAGTAAGATTTTTTTAGCTCAGCGGTATTTCTCAGAGGACTGGTAATGCACCCAAAGATCCCAAGAGAAGGAATTTAGAAAATGCCATTAAACATCAGAAGCTTGGATTCTACCTTCAAATGGGATGAACCGAAGAACATGAGTGAGGGGACAGAGCAGAAAGATGCTGAGAAATTGAAACAGATGAAAATTATAAACTAAATCTGTTCTGAGAAGCAATGGAAGAGTGTAAGATTGTCTAGTTACATGGTCCCAGAGTATTGGGATTTGCTCTCTTCCCCATTGACCTCTCTTCCAAATCCTGAATACTTGATTTGTAATTTTAAATCATCTCTCAAGATTTGGCCACAAACTCTACACCACTATCACCCCAACTTAGCATTCTATTGTAGACACTCAACACTGTTTTCTTTCACCATCCAAGTGATGGCTGATTTCACAGGCCCAAGCAGCACAAAGTACTACATCACATGCCCCCTAGCCCTTCATAAATGCCACTAATGTAACCGTACCACCAAACAGGCATCTGACACATGAAATTCACATCTTCGCCTAACTCACATTAGCTCGCTGGTTTGACAATTGAACAAAATCCATGAATTTTACTCAAGTCCAGATAAGGTGTTAGTGTTTTCTTATCCCTACAATTTCCATCATGAAAACTTAGCCAAAAAGAAAGAGAAATGGTTTTATAGCAATTGTTTGGGATGTTGCTTTTAAAGAAGCAAGAGACGGAAGTCTAGAATCAGTTTTTATTTCCTTTTAAAGATATCTATGTTCCTATTTCCTGTCTTTGGATGCTTCCCAAGTACTCTCAGTTCTTTGCAATGCCTCAACGTTTAACATATTTCCTAAATTTGCATCCTAAGAATTATGGCTTTGAAAGTAACACTTAACTCATTGTAAATTCTTCCCTATATTTTGTTTACCCTGCATTGCAATACAAATATATAAAGTCATGTTATCAATTCTGAATACTCTTTTTGTCATGAACACCGGAAAGATGCATGGTTAAAAATAAAATCATGCTCAGAACTTCAAGAGAAGGAACTGTGAGGCAATGTCGCCCAAGGGCCCTTCTCAGCCCACAGGCTTTATCAGACCAACAGAGACTCATAGTAAATGAAAAAGAGAACATGTTCAAGGTAACAAAATTCATAGGGTCAGAAGAAATTAGAAATGAAGCTATGTTATATATGTTATATATAGAAACTATATATAACAGAGAAACAGTTTCCAGATAATAATGTCCAGAGTGTTTCTGTAGACTTTCTATCTGGAAGGATTCTATTACATCTGTCATTTTCCCATGAGCTGAAAACTTCTTACAGAGTTTTATTGCTTAGGTGTGTGGACATCAGATACTTGGGAGGGTGGCTCTTTGCTGAAAACCACCAGAAACATGACTGGACCATTTATATTGGTCATGTTTGAATAAATCCAACAACTGTAAATCTAAAGACATTTTTAGTAGTATTTCTAAATATGCACTATCTTCTCATGTTCCTTTACCATGAAAACACTTGTGTTTTCTTTCAGGGTAGAGTTTCAGGATTTTTTTTTTTTTGAACCTAAATTGGGACTAAGAAATAAATGATTGGTGTTTAAAGAATGCTTAAAGATTTTTAAAAAGACAGCCACCTACAGAACTCCCAAGTTTGAATAAAAAGAGATGACTGCAAAAGACAGTACAGTGAATGGTATTGCTGGAGAACATGATTGGGAAGTGGAAAAGTCTGCATTTAGATCCTGGCTCTGTGCCATTCTAGATGGGTGATCTTGCCAAATTATTTAACGTGACAAGCTTTTATATCTATGAAACAGATATCCCACCTATTTCATAGTGCTGTGGTGGGTGCCATTTTAATGATTATACACACATGAGGCACTCTTCTTTGGTCCATATTTTAAACGGCTAGAAAAGGTTTCTAGAAAATGAAGCCATTGGATAAAGATTTTGTGTGAAGGATTACTATCAAAGATGACATACAGAATGGCCCATGGGTTTGCAAGAAGATGCTCAACATCATTCATTGTCAGAGAAATGAAAATCAAAAGCACAATACAATATCATCAAACATCTTGTTAGAATGTCTATTATCAAAAAGACACAAAATAATATATGTGTTGGAAAGGATGGGGAGAAAAGGGAACCCGTGGGCATTGTTGGCGGGGATGTAAATTGGTGCAACCACTATAGAAAACAGAATGGAGGCTCCTCAAGAAATGACAAATAGAACTACTGTGTGATTCATCAATTCCACACCTAGGTAACTTATCTGAAGAAAAGTAAAACACTAACTAGAAAAGATATCTGTATCCCCATGTTCACTGCAACATCATTTACAAGATATGTAAACAACCAAAGTGTACATCAACAGATAAATGGATAAAGAAAATGTGACTTTATATCTATACTAGAGGCCTGGTGCATGAAATTCATGCATGGGTAGGGTCTGTAGGCCTGGCCAGTGACCAGGGCTTATCCGGGCCGTCTAGCTAAGTCCTGATCGGGAGGTTGGCTGTGGGAGCACACTGTCCAGCATGGGACAGCTTCCATGTTGAGTGTCTGTCCCCTGGTGGCCAGTGAGTGACTTAGCAACTGGTTAACCAGTCATTCTGGTTGTTCAGTATATCTACTAGTGCCCTGGTGCACGGATTCATGCACATTGAAAGGAAATTAATTAGAAGGTGGCCCATGGGGCAGGATTGGGCGAGATGGGCCAGACACACCCTAGAGCCAACCTCCCGTGGTTGCTCCCTGGCTGGCCGCACCTGGGGCGGTGCCGCGGCTTAAAGGCAGCACCACAGCTTGAAGGGCATCTGCACAGTGAATGGGGTCCCTCCAGCAGGTGGGGTCCCTCGGCCTGGCCTGTGGGCCGAAACCAGCTCTCTGGAATTCCCTAAGAGATCCTAGATTGAGAGAGGGCAGTTCTCAAGTGACGCACCCCAGAATCAGGCTCCCTCCTCTCTGATTCCAGGGTGCATCACCCAAGAACCGCTGCTGCCAAGTCACCACAGCTTGGAAGCTCTGCATTGAATATCTGCCCCCTGGTGGTCAGTGTGCATCATAGCTACCAGTCATAGTCATACAGTCAGATGCTCACTTAGCCTTTTATATATACAGATATGTCAATATATCTATATATCTATATCTATATCTCCAGAAGCAGGGGTGGGCAAAATGGGTGAAAGGAGTCAAAATAAATAAGTCATGGGGATGTACTGTACGGCATGGTACCTTCAGTGGATAATACCGTATTGCATACTTGAAACTTGCTAAGAGAATAAATCTTAAAAGTTCACATCACAAGAAGAAAAATTCTGTAACTATGTATGGTGACAGATGTCTAGACTTACTATGGTGAATATTTCACAACATATACAAATACTGAATCCTTATGTTGAATAATGATGTGTGTCAATTATAATTCAATATAAAAGATAAGTGGTAAGGGGAGGGATGGGATGTGGAAGAGGGCATAGAAGAATAAATGGTGACAAAAAAAATAAAATATAATAAACATATAAATGAATAAAAGTAAGCTGCAAAGGTCATGCTAAATAGTTTTTCTTAATATGCCGTCAAAATTCCATTTCACATGAAGCTTTATGCCACTGATCACTGTATTTATTCAAAAATTACTTTCCTAAGCTATGCTTAAGAAGAGTAGGAAAGGCTACTTCTAACTTTCAAGCTATGTTCAGACACCAACCTGGTGTGTAAAACTGTACAAAATCAGTTTCAACCACATACATAACTTTATGCTTTATTAAAAAAAATATGCTTTAACTCATGCTTTATTAAAAAAACAAAAAACAAGAAACACACACACAAACAGATTTTATGCCTCCACGGAGGTGCCAGGAATTTCTCGCCAGAAATACCTATGGTCTTGCTGGACAGGCTGCACCAACTCCCTGCCGGGGACTCCTTTTGCCTTCACTTGGGCCTCCAGCAATGATGAGCAGCCACAGGGCAAGTGTCCCTCCATCACTGCCAAATGTCTCCCTTCAAAAACCCTGGATTCATTATCTCCGAACCCCTCGGAAGGGAACGTGCGTGGCCTTACTTACAGCAGACGTTAGACGCGCAAGAATTTCATCACTGCTTTCTTCCGAGTCTTCGATTTTCCGATGAGACCTTTGAAAAACAAAGGACAAATTACCCTTCAGCTCTGGTTGCTCAAATTTATCTACCAAGTTATGGGGAATAAGATGCATTCCCACTGTTTAATACACGATTGTCTAATTATTCTTGTTTAATACATTAGTGAACGTCCCCAAGCAAATAACACGGTATCAGCAGTGCCGTGGGAATTCAGTTCTGATGCAGCTCAAATGTCTCTTCAATTCAGTCAGCAAGAACCTCTCACAAAACACCAGCTGTAGCCTGAAGATGCAGTGCTGTTCTCCCAATGATTTCACAACATAATCCCGGCACGCTGGATGTACAGATACGGGCATACACAAAGCATAAGCGGCTGTGAATATGTGCTGGTTAAGCACTAACATTCCCTCTAGACTAAATGAAATCCAGATTTTGAAAATATGAATCATGCATTTTCCACTACATCTGAGTTCCAGCCGAAACAGATGTATTCTGAAATGGTCTGTTATAGACCTAACACTATGATAGGATTTAGGTGGAAAACAATAGTAGAAGAAGCCCTTTGTTCTTTTTTAAGAGAGACAGCCCAGTTGAGAAGCCAAGAGGGGGGGAAAAAAGCATATGCATATGTTGAATCACTACAGGGACATATATTACACAGTACAAGATCAGTTTGTTTAGGAAAATCACCTTCCTAATGTAATTCATGAAAAACTGTTCACTGCCCAAATGCATGTACTAACGTACAAAATGATCTACTTTTTAAAACAAATCTTACAGAACTGCATTCTTTTTCTTGGTTTGGTCAAAGAAAAAAATTAACTAATGCCAGTGAATACATAAATTGTCTCCCAGGTCCATATTTCCACAAGCAGCCCCTTCTCCCCTGTGGAACTGGAGGGGTGCGCTAACTGCCCTGCAGAGCGGCGTTATCAGGATGGCAGTCCAGTGATTGATTTCAGTCACGCCAATGGCAGTGGGCCGGCTGGGGTGCTAGGCCAGAGGGGCAGGAGGGCGGCTCCCAGCTCACAGGGGAGCTAAGAAGCTCTTTAAGAAAAGAAACACTGGTCAGATAAATTCTGACATTGGCTTCCTGTTCTGTACATGTTATTTAACCTTTTTATAGAAAACAAGCCATCCCCTTTCAGAGCAGTGAGTTACAAACTGCTCCCTTTATAAGAATGCATGATGCAGGTATGAAACAGTGCCCTGTTGTCTGATAGCTTAATTACTTATGCAGCAGAGGGTTTGAAACATTACCTAATGACCTACCAGAAAAAACAGTGGGAACGGAGCATGATAATTTATCATTTCCCCCCCAAAATCAAGTTACATTGATAATAAATATTTCAAACAATGAGCTTTATTATTAAAATTATCTATTTGCAAGGTTTCTTGTCTAGGCAATATGGCTCAGTGGTTGAGAGTTGATTCAGAAACCTGGAGGTCACAGTTCGATTCCCAGTCAGGGCACATGCCTAGGTTTTGTGCTCAATCTCCAGTAGGGGGCATGCAGGAGGCAGCTGATCAATGATTCTCTCTCATCGTTGATGTTTCTATCTCTCCCTCTCTCTGAAATAAATAAAAGCAGTTTTATAAAGGTATTAAAAAGGTTTTACATTAAGGAGAAATTTGCAACCTTTTATAACCTTAGCCACCAAACCAAAATTATATGATTAAGTTGAGGTGACTGACAGATCTGTCAAGAAATGAAGCAACAAACGCATCGAGACACCAGGGCACATCCTAAAGGCTTCGGTGCTCCATCTGGGTCCACTGAGAGGCGCGCTGGCCATGCTGTCCCCTGCTTCTCAGACCCTGCAGACGCCTGGGTTAGCTGATGGGATGAGGTATTTCGCACCACAAATTCTGTCATGAATGTCATTTCAACCAACTTCTGAGAGAAACTCAAAAATTCCAAGGGAAGCTCTTGTGTTTGTGACTGATAATGACTATTTCATGAGTGATGGCTGAGGAGTTGCTGGTTCAGTGGCAAATAATTTAGTCCCTGTTCAGAAGCAAAACTATCTGTCATCATTCTTCCAGCACAAAACATGTCTTGGCTCAAGCATTTCTAAAGGAAATGTGCCCGAGGAAAGCCGGGTGATGATCTCCAGAGAGCTGCCTGCAGCCCATGTCCCACATTTGTCACCTCAATCAGCACAGTGTTTGCCCGGACCTCCCAAATCTTTCTCCGACCCCGAGCTCCCCTTGTTTTTCCATCTGCCTTCAATGTGGCTCTAGGTGGCAATTCCAGGAATGTTCACCCACGTGGGGACTCGTTAGGCTCTTGGAACTCAGCATAACTTACACCAAACTCCTCTTCCTCCTGCCTGCACCCCTCACAGCTCAGCTTCATGGTCGCCGTGTGGCCATCCTCTTCCTCCCACCTCGCCAGACACCAGACTCTCTCACTTCCCTTTCTCAGGCTCTGCTTTCCTTCAGTCCCTCACGGTCACGGTCAAGCCTCACTGACAGTTGAGGCCTGCACCTTCTCTTGCACAAATTATTTTAACCACCTGATCAACTTCTTTGTCTCTGGCTTCTTCCCTTGTGCTCAATCTCCTGCAGACACAAGGATTACCTTCCTAAGTCCCAGATCTCGTCCTGCTATTCTCCAGACTCCAAACCAGCAAGGGCTATCCCCCGGCCTGCTGAGAGCTGTAGAATTCAGAAACACCCTTTCTTTCCTGCTCATGTGCCTCCTGCCCCAAGCACAAGCAGGCACCTGCGTCTCACCAGCTGGGAAAGAGAGTCTTGGGAGCAGAACTGGTGGGAATGGGCAAACAGTCGGAGTCTGAAAAGGGGAAAGGAAGAGAGAATGCTAACCCTCAACCACTTGTCTTCCTCACTGCTTGGGTCCCGCCTCAGCTCGATGCCAAAATGCCCAGAAATACCAGACCGTCTTTCCTCAGCAAATGTATTTTCATAAAATGTAGGTGAATTCTGGTTGTTTTACGTATGTGAATACACATCAGTGCAGTCCAGTGAAGACAATGTTGTCGTATATCAGATCAAAATAGATCATGGAGCAGGTGGAGCAAGGGAGAGTAAAGCAAAAATTCTATTGCAATTATTGCAATCTCCACGTATTGCTCAGTGGACAAGATAGGAAATGAGAAGTTCCAAGCGTGGCTAGGAAAGGAAAACACAGAAACCCAGCTGGCATCCCCAGGTACCGGCAACAACAAGTTGACTTTAAGATAAGAAAGGAGTGACCCCCGGAAGAAAGACCCATTCCTGCAGGTTTGTGCCAGCAGGAAGCTCCCACCCAGTGGGCACACCCTTTAAGCATATTCATGGCTGCTTCTCAATGTCTCTGCTTAACAACAGCCCAAGCCAGAACCCAAGTCCTAGCGCTGCGGGCAGACGTCTTTATAAGTTGGAGAGGTTAATATCTAAGGGTAGTTGAGAGGACACAGGAGTGGTCCTCTGCCCTGGTCCCCCTAACTATCAAATTGGATATATTATCAGTCTACCCAGCTCCCACCAAAAAAAATTTAAAAAAAAAAAATTCCTGCCCTCCCCACAGTCTTCCCTGACCTTAACTAATAGCAAGTCCATCCTCCCAGTTGCTAGTCAGCCTTGATTTTTCTCTCTTCTCCCCCCAAGCACAGCCAGCCACCCACCCACAATCCACATTGCATCCATCCTGGATCCTACTGGCTTCCAGTGTAACTCATATTTAACCATTTCTTACCACCTCTGCTACTACTGTGGTCCAGCCACAGAATCTTTAACTTGGACCCAGGGGCCAGGATGGACTTATTAATATGCAAGTGAGATCATGCCCCTCCTTTGCTCAGAATCATCAAATGACTCTCCATCTCCTGCATAAAATCAGTCTTTCCGAAGCCCTTGGGATCTGGCCTTCTGGTTTTCTTATCCCTCCCTCTCTTATCTCCTCCAGCCACACTTGCTTTGTTTCGAAGCTTCTGCCTTCAGCTTCTGCACCAGCTGTCCTCGCGACCTGGAACGCCTTCCTCAGATACCCACACTGCTCCTCTCCTGACATTCTTCAAGTCTCTGGCAGCTTCCCAGAGAAGCCTTGTCTGACCCATATCCGTGGCCCTCACTTCCCACTTTATTTTTCTTCATAATGGTTTCCACCTTTCACCAACATAAATCTGTTCATTTATGAAATTCTATCCTCCCCTACTAGATTGTAGGCTCTGTGGGAGTAGAGATTTCTGTCTGTTTTGTTCATTGTTGCAATCCAAAAACTTAGAACACAAACTGGTGCGAGAGACATTCACTAACTATTTGTTGTAGACAGGGTGGGGCAAACGTAGGTTTACAGCTGTGGGTACATGAAACACAGAATTTGTCCTTGGGTTGTTATTGATTGCATTATTTCCCACATGAACAACTGCAGGCCTACTTTTGTCCCACCCTGAGTATTTACTGAGTACCTTAAACCTCAAGGAATGCTCTGCTATGAACTACCATCACACAAGTATTGCTGCACAAGATATTAACTAGTTACCTAATCAAGTCAACTGAAGGACCCTGCTTATACTCAAGAACTATTCCCTCTAGTTATTCATACATTCTCCTAGCTCCCTGCAGCAGGTCTTCCTTTCAATGACCTTTTTGTCACTAAAATCCAACAAGATTGACTTTCTTATACCTAATACCAAAGATCTGGTAACTTCGAAAGAATATAATTTTTTTTTTTTTTATATAAGCAGCATAATTACCACCCCCTACTGCCTGACCTTTTTTTAGGAAATAACTAGTTAGCACAGACTTAATGTCAGTACCCTACCTAGGCAATGTTTGACAATCATTTACGCAATTCATGATGCAAAAGAAGCAAAGCAGAAGTTCCCCACCCAAGGTCTTTCAACACAAACTCTCAGCTCAACGTGGTTGAGTTCCAATAAAGAGCATTAGGCGGCAGCACACAGGAACTGTGATCTGGGCAATAGTTTCATCCAGCCAGTCCCAGCGGCATCTCCAGCAACTTGGGTTTAACTGGCTTCCCTGCAGAGGTTCCCATGAGAATTAATGAAAAGATCTTCATGAGAATT